ATGAGTTCGCTCATGTATCACAAGGGAAGAAGAAGTAGTGTAGACGTTTCCACATTGTTTACATTCATAGGGCTTTTCTCCAGTATGTATTTTTGCATGTACATGAAGTTCACAGGACCTACCAAAGGCTCTACCACATGTTTGACATAGGGTTTCTCTCCAGTATGCAGTCTTTCATGTTTGTGAAGGTTAGAGGATGTAGCAAAGGCTTTTCCACACTGTTGACATTCATAGGGCCTCTCTCCAGTATGTATCCTTTTATGTCTGTGAAGCTGAGAGCATGCAGCAAAGTTTTTTCCACACTGTTGACATTTATAGGGTTTCTCTCCAGTATGCATCCTTCCATGTGTGCGAAGGTCACCAGATCTAGCAAAGGCTCTACCACATTGTTTACATTCATAGGGCTTCTCTCCAGTATGAGTTCTTTCATGTATGAGGAGCTGAGAAGGTCTAGCAAAGATTTTGTTACACCACTTACATATATAGGGCTTCCCTCCAGTATGAGTTTGCTCATGGGAGCGAAGGTGACCAGACTGAATGAAGGCTTTGCCACACTGCTTACATTCATAGGGCTTCACTCCAGTATGTGTCTGTTCATGTATCTGAAGGGAAGAAGAAGTAGTGAAGACTTTTCCACATTGTTGGCATTCATTGGTCTTTTCTTCTGTGGGAGTTCTTCCATGCATGTGAGGTTCACTGGATGTATCAAAGGTATTTCCATAATGTTGACTTTCATTGGGCTTCTCTCCAGTATGGATTTGTTCATGCATCTGAAGGTAAGTTGACATAGTGAAGCCTTTCCCACAGTGTTGATATTCATAAGGTTTCTCTCTATTATGTGTTCTTTCATGTCTGTGAAGGTTAGAGGAGTCAGTGAAGGCTTTTCCACACTGCTTACATTCATAGGGCTTCTCTCCAGTATGAGTTCGTTTATGTATGTGAAGCTGAGAAGATCTACCAAAGGTTTTGCCACACTGCTTACATTCATAGGGCTTCTCTCCAGTATGTGTCCGTTCATGTACCTGAAGGTAAGAAGAAGTACTGAAGACTTTTCCACATTGTTGGCATTCATTGGTCTTCTCTTCTTTGTGAGTTCTTCCATGCATGTGAGGTTCACTGGATGTATCAAAAGTTTTTCCACAATGTTGACTTCCATTGGGCTTCTCTTCAGTATGGATTTTTTCATGTCTGTGAAGGTTAGAGGAGTCAATGAAGGCTTTCCCACACTGTTTACATTCATAGGGCCTCTCTCCAGTATGMGTCCTTTCATGTTTGTGAAGGTGAGAGTATGCAGCAAAGTCTTTTCCACATTGTTGACATTTATAGGGCTTCTCTCCAGTATGCATCCTTCCATGTATGTGAAGGTCACCAGATCTAGCAAAGGCTTTACCACATTGTTTACATTCATAGGGCTTCTCTCCAGTATGAGTTCGTTCATGTGTGTGAAGCTGAGAAGATGTAGCAAAGGCTTTGCCACACCACTTACATTCATAGGGCTTCATTCCAGTATGAGTTCGCTCATGGGAGCGAAGGTCACCAGAATGAATGAAGGCTTTGCCACACTGCTTACATTCATAGGGCCTCTCTCCAGTATGAGTTCGTTTATGTACGCGAAGCTGAGGAGATGTAGCAAAGGCTTTTCCACACAGTTTACATACATAGGGCTTCTCTCCAGTATGAATTTTCACATGTGAGTGAAGGTAAGTGGACTGAGTGAAGGCTTTGCCACACTGCTTACATTCATAGGGCTTCTCTCCAGTATGCGTCCGTTCATGTCTGTGAAGGTTAGAAAAAGTACTGAAGACTTTTCCACATTGTTGGCATTCATAGGATTTCTCTGCCATATGAGTGTTTTCATATGAGTGAAGGTTAGAAGACTGAGCAAAAGCTTTGCCACACTGCTTACGTTCATAGGGCTTCTCCCTAGTATGAGTTYGTTCATGTCTCTGAAGGTTAGAAGAAGTAGTGAAGACTTTTCCACATTCTTGGCATTCATTGGGCTTCTCTCCAGCATGGATTTGTTCATTTATCTGAAGGTAAGATGAAGTAGTGTAGGCTTTTCCACATTGTTGACATTGATAGGGCTTCTCTCCAGTATGAGTTTGCTCATGAGAGTGAAGGTGAGCAGACTGAGTGAAGCCTTTCACACACTGCTTACACTCATAGGGCTTCTCTCCTGTATGAGTCCCTTCGTGTATCTGGAGGTAAGATGAAGTACTGAAGGCTTTCCCACATTGCTGAAATTCATAGGGCTTCTCTCCAGTATGCGTTCTCTGATGTATTCTAAGTAAACTGGGATAAGCAAAGTCTTTTCCACATACCTTACATTTGAAATGTGCTTTCCCAGTGTGTCTGATCATGTGACATCGAAGACTTGTGAATGAAACCAAAGTTTTACCACCTTGTTTATATTTATGGAGTTTCTCTCCAGAATGAGTTCTTTCATGTTTTCTAAATAAAGTGCGGGAATGAAAGGCTTTCCCACATACCTCACATTGAAAAGGTTTACCTCCACTGTGTGTTCTCATGTGTCTTTGAACAGCTGGGAGAGAAGAAAAGGCTTCACCACATTGTTGACATTCATAGGGTTGGCACTCAGTATGAGAAT